ATGAGTTTTGTTATAAGCACAGTCGTAATTTTCTTTGATTTTATAGTCCAGACATTTAAGCTTCAATTAGGTAAGAATCTCGGAATTCGGGATACCCATCTGAAAGTCTGTAAATACTTGCATATTGACACCAAAAAATTGTCTCAAAACCTACATATGGTAAGGTGTCAATACCATATGCAGATTTTGAGACAACTTTTAGGGTGCAAAATACAAGTATTTACTGACTTACAGCTGGGTATCACGAATTCTGAGGTGAACTTACTATAATGACTGGATCATATAAGTAAAAAATAAGTTTCATGTTGATACATAGAGCCGAAAGTAGGTAATAAATAGGCAGCCAGTAAGTAATAAATAATAAGCCAGTAATAGTAAGAAAATAAGTAATAAATAGGTAGCCAGTAGGTAATAAATTCAATTTAAAAAGTTTTATTCCACATACAAATCCAAGACTCATCGTCGATCCAATGTAACAACATATTAGTTTAACAATAAACTTCAGCTCCCAATTTTCCTTGATCTGTGACTGCGAAATCGCAAGGTCTCCTCGGCCACTAATTGCGCTAAATATGATAATGACCTACAAATCTAGTCGTTGAACCATCTAGTCGCACGAACGAATACGAATACGAATTCCTACTACTATAATATTATATTGCACGTCGTATATTTTATGTGCACGGCAATAAAACAAATTGAAATTAAATAATAATAATAATGTTATAAGGGAATTATCAACGGCACGCACACGGCGTGGAGGAGATTTGCTGATTCTTAGATTTGTTCGAAAACCTCGGTTCGCGGCACGTTTGAAAATCGTTAATGAGGTCACTCGTTAATCAGGGAAATGCGATTTACATAATAATTATTTTTGTAATTATGCACGAGTTTAATTATGAATAGACTTTTTAAAACTTTCTTGAACTTTCATATTAATATAAAAAAATAACTGGTCTACATTTAACTGTCATCTGTTGAAAAATAAGTACAAAATAATTATAAATATTCAAATTTTCTTTTTGATTTATAACTTTCCGTAGGGTAAGTTATTGTAATCGTCCAAAAATCGAAATTAAAAATTTTGGATATATTTACGTTTCAGAGGTTTCTGAACATTTTGGCATACCTCAGAAAAAATTGTGTGTGTGGATAAAAATTTTTGTCGACGATTTCGGACGTACGGATCAACCGATTTGAATGATTCAAAAAGCAATGGATTCCTATGAATACGAAGACGTGCTGAATAGTTTTCGACAAAAGTTGATCCAGCCGTTTCGGAGATACGAAGCAAAGAGTGCAGAAAATATGAATTGAATTTTTGAGAGAGCTGAACATCCGATCTGAATGATCCAAAAAACATTCAATTCGTCATGATGGAGAGAAGTGGTGATTAGTTTTTAGCAAAGGCAGGTCCAGCCGTTTCGGAGATACCGAGCTAAATGTGCAAAAAATGGCAGTATTTTAATTTTAATTCTGTCTGAATTCTATGTCTCACTCATATACTTTAAATAAATAATTTTAATTTTGCAGTTCAGTTTATATAATTCTTATAAAAAGTATTTATTAATAATCTCGGAATTCGGGATACCCAGCTGAAAGTCTGTAAATACTTGTATATTGACACCTAAAAGTTGTCTCAAAACCTACAATTATTATAAAAAGTATTTATAGTGATCTATTTAAAAGCATTTACTATTCCTCGAATATTTGATTACGGAACGGGAGTATCAGCAAATTGCCTTGAGGCACGATGCCATGCACCATAAACAGTTTCTAACTTTATTCTATTTCATTTTTATATGTAAATATTATAAATTGCTACATTCTTGAAATGTCAAAATATAAGTTTGACTTGTATCGTTTCCAAAAATAACCGAATTTTGAAAACAGCGCCAAAATGTTTTCATCGCGTCGACATTTCAGGCAGGCACATGGTCGGCACACGTCCGTCCGCGCAAATGTAAATAATCTAATAATGGACAAAGTATGAAAATAGTCGCGAAAATATTGCCACGACGTATACAACATCAGCTGTAAACAAACGTCTTTTAGTATTATATACACAGAATCGGCGCAACTTTTTTTTATCATGTGACAGAAAGAGCAAAATCATAAAGTACTCTCTCTGGAGTAAGATCTAAATTATATTTAAATTCCAGAAGGAGAAGTTTATGTTTCTATAAAAATCCTACTCGCCAATTTTATGTTTTCTCGACGTTTCTAGTCATTCTGAATCAAGTGAGACCAAATTTGATAAAAGTGTGCGTGTGTGTGTGAACGGATTTTTTACCATAAATCGACGTTTTCTCAAAAACGGCTGAACCAATTTCAAACATTTAAAAGCCTTTCGATGTAACTGGATGACTATCGTTTCTCAATTTTGTGCAAAGATCAGCCGAGCCGTTTCTTTATGAATTGTAAAGTGTAAAACTTCTCATCCACGTTTTAGCTCACAATACTGAATTTTAAAAATTTAAAAACCTTTAGAAAGATAACACAGGTCAACAAAGAAAATGGTGCAAACGATTTTAATACTGTTTTTAAGTATATTTGGGGCGCTGATTCAAAAATGACATTGGTTTTTTTTCTATGAGCTTTAGTTTTCAAGATACGATATATATGATATATTTTACGATATTAGGTGCGCAACTAAGTTCTCGCTGTTTTTTCGATGAAAATGTAACTTTTATAAAAAATGCATCAATTGAGTTCGATACAGTTCTCAAGTGATGGTTTCACTCGGTTTCAACAGCTCATAACAAATAACACCGACCTGGTCCTACCATATGTAGAGCCATAACCTTCGAAGTGAATATTCGGACGAACCGAGATTTTCTCGTCTTTGGATGCTGTAATGTATTTATTTTTTATCACCTGTCACGATGTGATGAAGAACCTCTTCTTTTCTGCCGCTGGAGCAGTTGTTTACAGGCGAAAAAACGACGCTCGACGTCTTTTGGCTTCAACTCACAAGAAACCGAAGTTTATTGCTTCTAAATCATCCCGACGACGCATACTATAGCTTGGAAATGGTTTGATGGGTAACTCCTAATTCTAAAGCAAGATCTTCTGGAGTTTGGCACGAATTCTCTTCGAACAAGGCCTTCAATTTAGCGTTTTTGAAGGTTTTGGGCCTTCCTTCACGAGGGTGGTCGTCAACATCAAAATCACCATTTTTGAAGCGACAAAACCCCTCATGGCATTGTGTTTTCGCTCAGAGCAACATTTCCGTAGCTCTCGATGCACTTTGCTCCCTTTTTTTTTAATGGAAGACGAAAATCAACACTCCCCGCAAATGACGATTCTTTGGCATAAAATTGGACATATTCACTTAACCAGAAGTATATAATGCAAAAACGAAATCAATTAGGTGTCGCAGCAGTTTGTTTACTTACTCTAACTTGCTTCAAGACGTTTTGGATTTGTCAAAATCGACCAACCCTTACTGATAAAGCCATATACTGACAAACAGCGAGAACTTAGTTGCGCACTAATATAAGGAACGAAAGTACAAATAGTAATACAATTCAGAATGTTATTGTAATGAGATATGCCTACTTGTACAACAAACTTACAAGACCCATTCGGCCTTAGTTGGGACATTAGTTGACACTGTGAAAAGTTCTTTTCCGTGACGACCTCGAATGGACCTGGTTTCGGCAACTTCTTCGTATCTCAAAAACTAGAGCTGATACAAAAAAAATTGGTTTGCAGATTTGAAATCAGCGCAAAAAATCTATAAGAATCAGCTCTAACATTTGAGGCACCAAAAAAAAACTTTTTTTTGTTGGCCTGTGTAATAG